CTGACACCTCGGCACTATAGCCAGGGCAACAGAGTGAGACTCTGTCTCAAAAAAAAAAAGGCCAGGCGCTGTGGCTCATGCCTGTAATCTTAGCACTCTGGGAGGCCTTGGGCAGATTGCTCAAGGTCAGGAGTTCAAAACCAGCCTGAGCAAGAGCCAGACCCCAAGCATGGCTGACGCCGCAGCACTCACTCTAGCCTGGGCAACAAAGCAAGACTCTGTCTCAAAAAAATTTTTTCAGAGAAAGCTCAGAAAAGATCTCAGGGAAAAATGTTTTTCCATTTTTTTTCCTGGTTGTTTTCTTTTGTCTCATCACACACAATTGGGAAGCTGAGGAATCATCTGGAAGGTCCAGGTTACGTCTAACTTCAATGGTATGATGGGGTTTTCCACCTGAATTCTGCAGCAGCCTCCTGGACCCCTCACCACACAGGCCTGGTGTTCCCTCACCCCTCCTCATGCTTCCCTGCTTCTCAAACATAATGTGCATAGAATCTGGAACATTCAGATTCCTGGGCCGTGGCCGGCCAAGTTCATTCAGTAGGCCTGGGGTGGGGTCCAGGAGTCTGTAGTTACACAGGTTCCTTAAGTGATTCTGGGCAGAAATTACTGCCCCGGGCACTCCCCCGTGGAACACCCCCAGACCTGGTGGCAGGTGGGAGGTGCCAGAACACTGGGGCTATAGAGAAGCTGTCTGGGGCTGCTGGGCCGTGGGGAACTCAGGGCGGTGGGGAATGGGGAGCTCGTCCCGTCACGCTTCATGATGGCCGAGCTGCGTTGGGAGGATGGCTGGTCCAGATAAACCTGAAGCAGGGAGAGTCCCTTGCTGAAATCACAGAATGTGGCCCAGAGAGGACAGAGAGGAAGTCTGGGTTATCCGAAGGCCATCTGGGTTGGAGGAGACTTTGGTCTAACTGCGGCTGTCCCAATGGATTTGTATGTCAACAAAACAACTGGCAATGCAAACCATTTGCATTCGTATACAGCATTTGTACCATTACACTAAGAGCATTCCCAACAGTATATCTCTGAAAAAGAGTCTTCACAAAATTTAAAAACCCCTGACAACACAGGTTCATAAATAGTCTGGCTAACTTCCACCTAGGAATCTTCAGGAGGGAGAAGTCTGATTTGGACAGCCTTCTGAGTAGCATTCCCTGTCCTCCAAACACCTTCCCTCCCACCAGGACAGAAGAGGCTATTTTACTATTTTTCTGCTTTTCAAGCCCGACCTGACCCCACAGCCAGACTCTGCACCCAGACCCACAGTGAGGCAGGCCTGGCTCCTTCCTCTGCATGACAAAGGCGGCTGCCCTCCCTCCTGGCAACTAATCAGTCCATTGTCCCAATCCACATTCCACTTCTTCTTTTGGCCTCTAGCTAATTGCCCAATTATTTTATTTCCCCAGCAAAACTCTTCAGGCTGCTGGGAATCCACATTCAGAACCCAACGCCTGTGTCTTGGGCCTCAGGAGTCTGGAAGATTTGACCTCTGCCTGTCTGTCTGCTTCTCTCGCCTCCCAGCTCACCCCCCAGACCTGACTTGGGTTGATTGAGTCCCTAGTTTGCCTGGGACTGATGGATGAGCCCGCTGGGATCAGGGGGCCGGGGCAGGCCTGGGCACAGGGGAACAGTTTGAGGTGTGGAAAGAACTCTGGCCTGGGAATTGGCAGAGCTGACTTTATGCAGGTCCCGACCATTAACTGTGTGTGCTTGGGGAAGTTGTCACCTCTCTAAGCCTCAGTTTTCTTAGCTCCAAATCCTGGGAGAAGGAGAATAGGCTGGATAGTCATTTTGGCTCTAAGCCCTCTCACTCTACAGACTAGCAGCAGGAAGGAGGAGAGCATCTGCTGGACAAAGTCACTGTTGGTGCTAAATGTTCCCAGTGTCGCCCACTCAAGAGAAGTCCCCCAAGATCAGAAGGGGTTTCAGCTTCCTAACTGTGGACCACCTGCCCAGGTTCCCAGTGGCTCCCAGGGCCCCAGGCCCCAGACACCCATCCCTGCAGGCAGGACTAGGCCCCAGAAAGGCTGGACATTGACTGTACAGCCCCTTCTCCCCCGCAGGCTCAGCGTTAGACTTGGTCCCGCGCTGGGAGGCCGGTGCAGAAACACCAGCAAGACGTCTGGGGGAGACAGGGAGCGAGCAGGGGAGGGTTCCTCCACTTCATTGTCTTCTCTGAGAATGAAGTTGCAGTTTAGCTGGGCAGTTACTCAGGTGTAGAAGGGGCTCTTGATCCCTGGGGTCTCCCAGAGGTTTCGTCCCAAGGCCCCACCTAGGTGGGAGACAGCCTTGTGCGGGGTCTGCATGCAGGTCAGGGAAGCAGCAGGGCCTGGTCTCCCTCAGCCCTGCGACAGCAGGTTCCTGCTGAAACAGAACAGGGCCTGCACCGTGTCCTTGGGAGCTTCCGGCCCTAGGGAGCTCCCAGTGGGTCTGGAGGTGGGGCCTTGGGGAGGAGGTCATGGCAGGCAAGGGCAGCCTGGGTGTCATATCCTCGGCACCACCACGGCTGGTGATAAGCCACAGGCTTCCTTTCACGCGGCAAGGGTGGTGGACTAGTGCATATTTATGGGACACTAGCCCAGAATGGCTTCCAGGACTAAGGGCCACTGGTCCTGGGTCGCCTGTAAATGTGACACTTCTGCACCTTTTGGCCTGACTTAAGGCCCAAATGTTTGCATCAAGTAAGTCTTTCCCCTGCTAATCACTTGCAAAGAAAGGCAACAGCTGCCCTTTTGAAGACGCCTGTCAGAGCGCAAGCAGGAGGACACAGGGGTGTCCTGCCTGTTTGGGCAGGACACAGGGGTGGGGACTTATAGTTCACGGGATGCTCAAACTATGTGAGAGATGAGCTTCAAGATGGGACTTGAATCTGTCCTTGAATCACACACATTGGGTGGAGTAAAGGAGGGAGGGCAGAGGAGAGGGAAACAGAGAAGCAGCCAAAGTCATGTGTCATGACCCCCTGAGCGTGGCCTTCCCTGGGGTCAGCTGCCAGGATTCCGCACTTCCTCATCCTCGGTGTGTGTACACGTGTGAGCAAGTCCCTGTCTCCTTCACTTCAAATAGCCTGGGCTCTAGCTCATGCTAGCTGCATGACCTTGGGCAAGTCAGGTAGCAGTTGTGCCTCAGTTTCTTCTTCTATGAAATGGGACTAACAACGGCAACTTCCTCCTCAAGTTGCTTGAGAATATAAGGTTAATTGCATATATAAAGCCGCAGAACAGCGTGGCCCACGGCACCATTAGCCATTGTGATTGTTACCAGTGTTATTCTCTGTCCTGGCTGGTAAGTCCTCCCCTCACTACTAAAGCCCCCCATGTATGTGCATATGCAAATGCTTGTGTTTAAGTATATGTATACGGTGGCAATTTGTGCAGTTGTCCCTGCACTTTCATCCAGGGGAAATTCCACCGTTGAGCACCAGAAGTTTCCCTCTTCCTTTGCCTGGGATACCTGAGGCCAGAAGCAGGAGAATGCAGAGACCTGTGGCAGCACACTGCAAAGGAGCCAGAGTGCCCCCACTGGGAAGGGGGAGGCAGATGCCCCCTGCCTGCCGCCCCTTGGCCCAGGGTCCTTGTCCTCCTCCATCATCACTGCTCTGCACCCATGTGACATGGGCAAGTGAGGCTGCTGACTTTGTGGAGGGACTTCCTCCTGCACATCCCCAAATGCCTCCTGCCAGGCAGGAGAAGATGTCGGCAGAGACAGATGCTGCACTTGCCCCCAAGCCCTCCACTGGCTGAGGGAGCACAGGCAGGTTACTTCTCCGTGCGCTGTAGCTGGAAGGCACACCTGAAGCTAACACCTGCCTCCTCCACGTGTGAATACACATTCTGAGCTTAGAGCAATGACTGGCACATAGTGAGCACCAGGAAATGTTTGCCACTCTTGTTATTGATAGTTTTGGAAAAGCCACAACCTTGTCAATGTGGGTTTCAGGCAGATAGTAATGACAGCAAGCATTATACACACAAGCATTTGCATATACATATGGGAGCGTATCAAGCACTGGACTAAATACCTTGCATGATTACCTCCTTTCATCTTCATACTAGCCCTGTGAAGCAAACCCTATTGTCACCTCTTCTTCAGATGAGGAAACTTAATGACTCGCTAGCAAGTCAAACAGCCTGCAAGCAGCAGGACCCACATTTGAACCAAGCCCATCTAAAAGGTGTGTTTGAGGAGGCACTGGGGGCTTCCCACCCCAAAGTCCCCACAGTGCCTGTGGCTTTGGACAGGACATGCCTCTGGGCAGCTCTGGCATCTGTTTTCCAGGTTCCTGTTCCTTATTCTGTGTCTGAAGATGACCTGGCTCCAGCTGAGCACTGGTGGCCCCTGCCAGCCAGCTCACAGGGCACAGCGCGCCCCGAACGGTTCTGCTATCTGAAGGGACACTCTCACTCTGCAGTCTTGTGACTGCAAAGACAGTTGCAGAAATTGCTTTCCCTGGCACTGCCAAAGACCGCCCAGCTGCCAGATTTCTGTCCTGAGAGCATCCAGCTTCCTCTGTCATGGGGGAGGGCAAGGACTGCGACCTAAGCCTCAGGGACCCATGACTGGGAGGGGAGGGCATGGAAGGACCGCAGCATGGAGGGAGACGACTGGTGGACTTCTGTGAAAGTGGCCAGAATGGCAGGAATGCCGAATCCTCTCTCTCCTTCCTCTTGATGAAGAAACCTAGACCAAGACCAGCCTCCAGAAATAGATTTAAAGACATTCAAGCAGCTGGATAAGGCGACACTCTTTTTCACAGAATAGCCTCATTTCTTATTACAATGGGACTACAGTAAGGCAAGAAAAATCCAACAGGCAGTAAATATTGTTGAGCTGCCCACAGCATAGCCAGAGGCCCCAGGGCTGTGTGGGATCCAGACAGCCCCCCCCCAGGGCTCAGGGCCCTGTCTGGCTGCTGAGCTCCCAGGAGGTCCGAGGGGTGTGACCTCGCTCCCTGCCCCCTCCCACCACCCAGGCCAGCCCAGGGCTGCTATAAAGCTGGCCCAGCCCTGGCTCTCAGCACACCCAGCTGGGGCTGACACCCTCCTGGAGCCTCCTCAGGGGACACACCACCCTGCCCTCACTGCCATGTGCCCCCTGTGGCTGTGCTGGGCGCTCTGGGCGCTGCCCCTGGCTGGCCCCGCGGCAGCCCTGAGCGAGGAGCAGCTCCTGGGCAGCCTGCTGCAGAGGCTGCACCTCCGCCAGGCGCCCGTCCTGGCCAGGGCCGACGTGGAGCAGCTGGCCATCCCTGCCCACGTGCGGGCCCAGTACGTGGCCCTGCTGCAGCGCAGCCACCGGGACCGCTCCCGCGGCAAGAGGTTCAGCCAGAACTTCCGAGGTGAGGCCCTCCCTGCCTGCTGCACCCGTTCCTGGGGGGTCTGAAGTGGGGGCTCCTGGTCCAGAGGTGGTGGGCGGGCCGGGGCATGGGAGAAGAGCAGGGCGGAGGAGGGAGGGCAGAGGCGGGGGAGGTGGGGTGGGGAGGGCGAGGAGGGCGGCCTGGCAGGACCTAGGAGTGCCTGGTGCAGACAGGACGTCCCCCACTATTCCACGTGGCCAAATCTGGTCTGAGCCCCACCTTCAGCAAATGGCTTTAAATCCTCTCAACTGCGTGCTCATCTAGAGCAGGGGTGTGACCATGCCCCTACCTGTCTCCCAGCATCCTGATCCTTGACGCTAGTCACTGTGGCCACAAATGCATAGAGCTTAACACCTGACTCATATTCAGCTGTCAGGATGCGAGGGGCCTGCATCCCATTGCAGCCCTCACCCCCCAGCGCCCACCGCTAGGCCCAAGGCCAGGCCCCCGCCACCATTCTGATTCTGACCCCCACGTCTCGGTGGAGGAGGCCTTGCTAGCTCAGGGTCCCAGAGCTGCCCCTTCCTGCTGGGTGGAGCTTGTTACTAAACAAGGCCCAGACCCCAGGGGGCTTTAACAGGGGCCGGTCTCTCCTGGCCTGGCTGCCACTCTCAGAGGTGCCCTGGTGTTCGGAGGGGCCCCGCTGACCCTGCTGTGTCCCCAGAGGTGGCCGGCAGGTTCCTGGCGTCCGAGGCCAACACGCACCTGCTGGTGTTCGGCATGGAGCAGCGGCTGCCGCCCAACAGCGAGCTGGTGCAGGCCGTGCTGCGGCTCTTCCAGGAGCCGGTCCCCAAGGCCGCGCTGCACAGGCTGTCCCCGCGCAGCGCCCGGGCCCTGGTCACCGTCGAGTGGCTGCGCGTCCGCGACGACGGCTCCAACCGCACCTCCCTCGTCGACTCCAGGTGGGCGTCGCGGTGTGTGCGCGCAGTAGGGGAGAGGAGAGGGAGCTGCTGGGCCCGGCGGCGGGGCGCGGGGCGCGGGGCGGCCGTCAGGTCGCTGCGTCCCGGTGCGCGCCCCTCACACGGGCTCTGTCTCCGCGCCGCGTCTCAGGCTGGTGTCCGTCCACGAGAGCGGCTGGAAGACCTTCGACGTGACCGAGGCGGTGAACTTCTGGCAGCAGCTGAGCCGGCCCCGGCAGCCGCTGCTGCTGCAGGTGTCGGTGCAGAGGGAGCTCCTGGGCCCGCAGCCCTCGGGCGCCCACAAGCTGGTGCGCTTCGCCTGGCAGGGCCCGCCGGGCGGGCGTGGCGAGCCCCAGCTGGAGCTGCACACCCTGGACCTCAAGGACTACGGGTAGGCCGCGGCCCGCCGGGGGCAGGAGTGGACTGGGGGTCCAGACCCATGTGGCCACGTCTGGCAGCTAGTGCCCACGGCCCAGGATAAGACTGCTTCCCCACTACACGTCAGTTTCTTTCTTTTTTTTTTTTTTCTTTTAGCATAGCACTGAGATTTGAAACACGTCAGTTTCTAACGGTAGAAATCTTATCTCTTATCATGCAGATATTTTATTGAAAAACACCTTCTGATTTTCAATGCTTTTTTTTTTTTTGAGACAGTCTTGCTTTGCTGCCCAGGCTAGAGTGAGTGCCGTGGCGTCAGCCTAGCTCACAGCATGCGCCACCATGCCCGGCTAATTTTTTCTATATATATTAGTTGGCCAATTAATTTCTTTCTATTTATAGTAGAGACGGGTCTCGCTCTTGCTCAGGCTGGTTTCGAACTCCTGAGCTCAAATCATCCGCCCGCCTCGGCCTCCCAGAGAGCTAGGATTACAGGCGTGAGCCACCGCGCCCGGCCAACAGTAGCTGTTTTATTATTTATATTTTGGATATGTTTATTCATTCATCCTCTATCACACACATCCGGCTTTTGAACAGAATGAGAGACAGATCATAAATCTCCCTCCCAGGTGCCCCTGACCGCAGCACTCCCAGCTGACCTCTGACCTTGTCCTTGCCCACACAGAGCTCAGGGTGACTGTGATCCTGAGACACCAGTGACCGAGGGCACCCGCTGCTGCCGCCAGGAGATGTACATTGACCTGCAGGGGATGAAGTGGGCCGAGAACTGGGTCCTGGAGCCCCCGGGCTTCCTGGCCTACGAGTGTGTGGGCACCTGCCAGCAGCCCCCGGATCCCTCGACCTCCAAGTGGCCGTTTCTGGGGCCACGGCAGTGCATCGCCTCGGAGACCGCCTCGCTGCCCATGATCGTCGGCATCAAAGAGGGAGACAGGACCAGGCCCCAGGTGGTCAGCCTGCCCAACATGAGGGTGCAGAAGTGCAGCTGTGCCTCGGATGGGGCGCCCGTGCCAAGGAGGCTCGAGCCGTAGGCGCCTGATGCAGCCACTGAGGCCTCTGCCAGACAGGTGCATAAAAGCAGGTGGTAATGTAGGTCTTATTTGGTATTTAGCAAGTGACCCCTGTCCTATCTTAGTGCCCCTACATTACTGTTGCCCTGTGTTCTTTCATTTTTGTCCTTCATGTCCATCACCCACCCCAAGCACTTATATGAGTAAAGAGTGCAGCTCCAGTAGGAATTCCTGGCTTACCTATTAGAGGGACAGCTGAACAATGGACAGATTGTCAGTTGGGAGTTTCTGTTCTCTGGCAAATTCTCCACTTGGTATGAGACAACAACCCTATGACCAGAATTGGGAAAATAGAGCTAATTTATGCTATTACATGATAAATTAAAAAGAACCCAAAAATCCCTTGTTTCCCCTAGACAGGGAGGATGTCTAAAATGAATCCCTATTCCCCCAAATGCTGAGCAATTCTGGAGTTCTGTGAACATACCTAGGTCCCCCTTCTCCTGAGAAGGTGGTAGGAGGGAGGGTGAAGGGCTTCAGGCTGGGGGGAGTGGACAGGGAACCAGGACACCTGGTATCTGGATCTGATGGGGGTCACACGATGGGACCTCAAACAAATGCAGAAGGCTTTTGGTCACCATTTTCTCTTTAAAAAGGAGTTGGGCTTCAGCTCTAAGACCTCATTGACCTGGGGATCAGGCAGCACCTAGCTGAACCCACTCTCCAGAGACGGGGCTTTGCCTCTGCATATTTAGGTTATTTCCCCCACTGTTTTAGAATATTTGTCACCAGAAACCACAAGTATTGGTGTGTTTTTAATTTAGCAAATACAATTAAATATAGATAATCCAAAGAAATAAAACTGATGTGTCACTCTGTGTCTCTCTGTTTAATTTCTAGAAGTCTAATGCGCTATCCATTGTGCCACGGAGCCTGTATTTAATTTCTAATACTCTTTACATAGGAGAGAAGGGAGCAATAATGGGGAATGGGGGCAACATAATGATGTGAAGAAAGGACCTGCAACTCTAGGGGGCGTTGAAGACTCTAACAACTAAATTAGATTAGGCTTCCATTTATGATATTTATATTTTCCCATACAACTCTCATTCCAAAAATAGTATTGTAAACAATCATTCACATATGCCTCCTCTTTAGAAAGCACTTTAACCCCTGCAAGAGTGGGGATGGGGATGGGGATGGGGATGGGGATGGGTGGTGGTATGGCAGTGGTATGGCAAGCAAGCTTACAGTTACTGAGCCTAGGTATGAACCAGGGAGCTGTGCTAGGCAATGTCACATATATCACTTAATTCTTGCAACTATTCCTTGAAGGATGGCTGGAGCCATCCTTGAGGGTGGCTGGGTTCAAACTACAGGCCTCTCCTCTCCTCAACTGTAGCCCAAAGGAACTTCACAGGCATTAGACATAATTGCCTGTGAAGTATATAAGCATAGAAAATAATAGTATAAGAAATACACCAAAAATATCTGCAGGAAACTATCCTTAGGAAGTATGATTGTGGGTGATTTTGACTTTCTCATTTTTACTTCTTTTGTATTTTCCAAATTTTCCTCGATATGCATGTACTGTTTTTCTAAAAAAGCAGTTATAGAAATACAGCATTATTTTGCTTAATTTTAAATGTTTGGTCCTTACTTTAAATTTTAGCATATTAGGGGGGTACAAATGTTTAGGTTAAGTGTGTTGTCTTCCCCACCCCCAGAGTCAGAGCTTCTAGCGTGTCCATCCCCCAGATGGTGTGCATCGCACTCATTATGTATGTATATACGCATCCCCTACTCCCCCCTCCCATCTGCCCGACACCCGATAAATGTTACTCCTATATGTCCACTTAGGTGTTGATCAGTTAATACCAATTTGCTGGTGAGTACATGTGGCGCTTATTTTTCCATTCTTGGGATACTTCATTTAGTATAATGGGTTCCAGCTCTATCCAGGAAAATACAAGAGGTGCTATAACACCATTGTTTCTGATAGCTGAATCGTACTCTATGATATACATATATCATATTTTATTAATCCACTCATGTATTGATGGGCACCTGGGTTGTTTCCACATCTTTGCCATTGTGAATTGTGCTGCTATAAACATTCGAGTGCAGGTGTCTTTTTTATAGAGTGTCTTTTGTTCTTCTGGGTAGATGCCCAGCAATGGGATTGCTGGACCAAATGGTAGATCTACTTGTATTGCTTTAAGTTATCTCCATATTGCTTTCCACAGAGGTTGAACTAGTTTGCAGTGCCACCAGCAGTGTAGGAGTGTTCCTCTCTCTCCGCATCCACGCCAACATTTATTGTTTTGGGACATTTTAATAAAGGCCATTCTCACTGGAGATAAGTGATATCTCATTATAGTTTTGATTTGCATTTCCCTGATGATTAGACATGTTGAGCATTTTTTCATATGTTTGTTAGCCATTATTCTGTCTTCTTTTGGAAAGTTTCTGTTCATGTCCTTTGCCCACTTTTTGATAAGGTTGTTTGATTTTTCCTTGCTGATTTTCCTGAGTTCTAAATAGATTCTAGTTATCAGCCCTTTATCAGATGTGTAGCTTGAGGAAATTTTCTCCCATTCTATAGGTTGTCTGTTTGCTCTCCTGACAGTTTCTTTGGCTATGCAGAAGCTTTTTAATTTGTTTTTTGTTTTTTTGTTTTTTTGAGTCAGAGTCTTACTCTGTTGCCCATGCCAGAGTGCCATGGTGTCAGCCTAGCTCACAGCAACTTCCAACTCCTGGGCTCAAGCGATCCTCCTGCCTCAGCCTGCGGAGTAACTGGGAATACAGGCATGCGCCACCATGCCCAGGTAATTTTTTCTATATGTATATGTTTAGTTAGCCAATCAATTTCTTTCTATTTATAGTAAAGACGGGGTCTTGCTCTTGATCAGGCTGGTTTCAAACTCCTGACCTTGAGCAATCCTCCCGCCTTGGCCTCCCAGAGAGCTAGGATTACAGGTGTGAGTCACCGCGCCCAGCCCAGAAGCTTTTTATTTTTATTTATTTATTTTTTTTGAGACAGAGTTTCGCTTTGTTGCCTAGGCTAGAGTGAGTGCCATGGCGTCAGCCTAGCTCACAGCAACCTCAATCTCCTGGGCTCAAGGGATCCTTCTGTCTCAGCCTCCCAAGTAGCTGGGGACTACAGGCATGAGCCACCATGCCCGGCTAATTTTTTCTATATATATTAGTTGGCCAATTAGTTTCTTTCTATTTATAGTAGAGACGGGGTCTCGCTCTTGCTCAGGCTGGTTTCGAACTCCTGACCTCGAGCAATCCACCCGCCTCGGCCTCCCAGAGAGCTAGGATTACAGGCGTGAGCCACCGCGCCCGGCCCCAGAAGCTTTTTAATTTGATCAGGTCCCACTTATTTATTTTTGTTGATGCTGTGATTGCCTTTGGGGTCTTCTTCATAAATTCTTTGCCTAGGCCAACGTCTACAAGAGTATTTCCAATGTTTTCCTCTAGAATTCTAATAGTTTCACACCTCAAGTTTAAGTCTGTTACCCAGCGTGAGTTGATTTTTGTGAGAGGTGAAAGGTGTGGCTCCTGTTTCAGTCTTTTACATGTGGCTATCCAGTTTTCCCAGCACCATTTATTGAATAAGGATTCTTTTCCCCAGTGTATGTTTTTGTCTGCTTTGTCAAAGATTAGTTGGCTATATGAGGATGATTTTATATCTGGGTTCTCTGTTTTGTTCCCCTGGTCAATGACCCTGTTCTTATGAAAATACCAAGCTGTTTTAATTACTATAGCCTTGTAGTATTGTTTGAAGTCTGGTAAATTGATACCTCCCATTTTGTTTTTATTGCCTAGGATTGCTTTTATTATACAGGGTCTTCTCTGGTTCCATATAAAGAGTAAAATTATTTTTTCTATATCTGTGAAAAATGATTGTATTTTAATAGGTATTACATTGACTCATCATTTTGGGTAGTATAGCTATTTTAACAATGTTGACTCTGCAGACCCAGGAGCATGGTTTGGTCTTCCCCCTGTTTACCTCCTCTGCTATTTCCTTCCTCTGGTCCTCACTTTTAAGGGTGCTGAGGTCCTGGGGACTTGTTCAGGGAAGTTCAAAGAAAGCGAACCCCAGCTTAGGGGTGGCGGTGTGAATTTTATGGAAGGGGCTGTAGAAAAGCTAGTAGAGACCGTGGAGAATTAGGGGTCTTCCGCTCTTCTGACTCCTCTAGGGATGCCACTTCCTTCCTTTGTGCTTTTCTCTGTCACTTGTTACCTGCGGCTCCTTACTACATTTACTACTGATGAAAAAGGAAACATCACATTTGCGGAGCTTTTTAAAGCAAGAGGCAGCAGGGGCGGGTGGCGTCTGGAAGATTCGGAGACCTGCGTATACTTTTTAGCCAGGCCTTAGCCGCTAAGTTCCTGAACAGAGGAACTGGTCCTACTTGCGATCTAGTTAAAACAAATTCGGTGACCCACGCAAGTTCAAGTAAATAAAACACGGCTGGCCCCGCCGCCTCCACGCGATCCCATTGGAACCGACGCCAGCACCAGAAACAGTATCAGTCTGAGCGGGGCCGGGAAGGCGACCTCAGCGCTCGGTAGGGTGTCTGAGATTCCGGGCCAGCGGGCTTCCGGGGCTCACCTAGGCGAACCTAGGGGCTTCCGGATCTCACGCCCGAGGTTCCGCTTGCCAGTCAGGAGCAGAGGAGGCGGGCGTGTGGCCCCGGCTCGGCCGCGGATTGGCCCGCCCTGAGCTCCTGGCTTTGGATTGGCCTCCCTGGCGGGGCGGGGCCACGTTGCCCAGGGCGCAGTCTGCGGCCGTGGCGCTGTCGGGCGAGAAGGGTGTGGGGTGCCGCGTGCGGGAGTCCCTCCAGGCTCCGCCCGGAAGCTGCTCGGAACTCCCGGTCCTCGGCGCGCCGCCGGCGGGCCCCAGCACAGCCCGCCGTGCGATAGTGGTATCTCCGGGTCCGCGCTGAGCGGGTTCCTGCGACTGCCGGAAGGCGCGAGCCGGGGACCATGAGCGTGGGCTTCATCGGCGCCGGCCAGCTGGCCTGTGCGCTGGCGCGGGGCTTCACGGCCGCAGGCAAGCGCGTGGAGGCGGGAGGCGGGTTCGGGGGCGGTCCCTAGCCTCTCTGGTCAGTCCCACGCCCCGCCTGCGTGAATGAATGAATGAAAGGGAGATTTACCTCCGGTGGGGGAGAGGAGATTCTGTTCAGCGGCAAGCGCGTCTTAGGCCCGCGTGAAGGATGGGGGCGGGAGGGAGACTGGCATTCTTAGAGCGGCTGTGGATTTGGATTCTGCTTTCCCAGGGAAAGCATGGGAGCGTGGTGGGCCACGACCCTAAGTTGAAAAGCTCTGTCTTCTGTAGGCATCCTGTCGGCTCACAAGATAATGGCCAGCTCCCCAGAAATGGACCTGCCCACGGTGTCCGCGCTCAGGGTAGGTGGGGCCGAGGGGTGCGGGGAAGAGGTTGGAGGCCCAGGAAAAGGATGATCTGAGACGAACTGAGCCC